GAGGTCACGGGTTCGAATCCCGTTGAAGCCCTGATTTTTTCAGGCTTCTTCTTTCCAATTGCTTAAATTGGAAAATTAACTGCGATGATCATTCTTGACTCTCATACAAGTTAATTATCAACTCCCTTTTATTAAAACGAAGATTAAGTTAAAGGTTTTGTATCAGGCAATGGAGATTTCGTATTAAAAAACGTGACATTCCTCACGTTAGATGCGTTAGCTTATGCTTTATTATTATTGCACTTATGTCGCATTTTGCGTCACTTACTTAAGGTCGGTTGCAAACATGCATAATAAATTTCTATTGTTTAGAGGTTCTGTTCCTGGAGACTCAGGGAAATAATCAAATACAAGTTTTCCTTTTTCCATTCTTCTGTTCCATTAGCCCTTTCTTACTGTCCAGATGTATTTTAAATCTAAACTACTCACTCGGTTAGCCGACTCGCAAAAAGTCTAACAGTAATTGAAGGATTGAATGAATCTCCCATCCATACCTACAACTTGCATTTTCCAAGTCAAAAATGGAGGTTAACAATGCTCTTTGTGTTGCAATACGAATAGCCGGTCATGGTGACTATTAGGCTGGATCACTGTTCCTATTCATTTCCTGCAAAGGATTAACCTCGAAGACTGCTCAAAAATTAAATTTCGTTCTTTCTTGCCGGATGCATCAGGAGAAGAGCAGAGTTTATCACACCAATCAAAGATAGTGGTACCAAGTAGGAGTAGCCAAGATCCCAAACGCTTCAACGTGGAAGGTATTTAGCAATTCTGATCAGTTCTTAAATTGAAATAGTAACTTGATAATCATGTCATGCATGCACTACAGTATTACATCATAATTACCTGAGACCTGATAACCTTGAACGACCAGTTTTGATAATTAGAGTTGTCGTTTGTATTTGGTAAAATTTCTATAACTAGTGGCAGCGGCGGAGGTCAAGTGGCTTGGGGGGCTGGATTTTGGTCCCAGGCTGAAATCCTTTTCTCTGCCACCAGATGGATTTGTGTAGGGTGGTTCTGAATTTAATTCCTCCACATCCTGTAAATAGTCAACTGGTCAGTCTCCAACCAGCTGGGATTTTTAACAAGTTTTCAAATATATTTACAATCTTTGTTACTTCGTTTATAGTGTCCTCAGTAACTCAATTGGCAAGGAGCAAAATACCATGACGCTTGAAGAAAGTGATTTATTATTATTTTTTTTATTTAGATTATAGTGTTTGTATTACTATACTCAAATTGAAAATTAGCCAATGAGAAGCCGTGTCTACTGTCCTAGTATCCTGCGATATCAAGTCACTGACCTGATATGGCTACGATATGGTCACTTTCAAGAAAAGTAATTTTGTGTGAGTATTGAAGTAAAGGCATCAAAATCACTCTCATAATCTTTGATTACTTCTTGTTTCGTGTGGTAAGTGAAATATTTCAGCTCCGTTTACATGAAGCTGTTGAAAGCCCTGACGGAGTATATGCAATCGCAGATGATATCCTTGTAGCAGGCACTGGAGACACTATGAAGGATGTAATAGCGGATCATGACCTCAAAATTGGGAAGCTTTTGAGGCAATGCCAAGAACGTAACATTAAGCTAAACAAGCAAAAAGTTGCTTTAAAGCAAACAGAAGTACCCTGCATTGGACATCTCCTGACCTCAGAGGGAGTAAAGGCATTCCAGTCCTAGGTTGAAGCAGTACTAAGGATGAAGAGGCTGACGGTGTTCAGCGGAATGTGGGCACCGTGCTACCTAGCAAAGTTCCTGCCGAGATTATCCGAAGTCTGACAGCTTCTCAGGCAGCTCACCAAGAACGGAACAGAATTTGTATGGGACGAAATCCATGATTGAGCATTCAGCAGGATAAGGGAGATGGTGACAACCCGTTACGCCACCATTGCTGAAGTACTTCGAGTGAGAGAAAGACCTAGTCATTCAGTGTGATGCAAGTGAAGGGGGCCTGGGAGCCGCATTACTCCAAGACAGAGGGCATACCCAAACAGAGCCCTGACTGCAGCTGAGAGGAACTACGCCCAAATAGAAAAAGAGCTCCTTGCA